GGAATCTATTAATTCTTGCATTATAAATGCTACTGCTGTTAATATTGTTTATTTACGATCTTGTTCCATTTTTATTAGCAGAAGCGCGCTACCACGCTATGCTATTGCTGTTCACGGAGCTCGCAAACGCTAACGCTATCAACACACTACCTCGGAAGGAATAGCGTTGATAGCGCGCAGTTATGACGTATCACACTACCATTAATGACGTCATAATTGCGTTTGGTAGCACTACCAGCTAGCTCCGTGAACAGTCGATAGCGCTAAATAGCGCTAATAGCGTCTCCCCGAACGCACCCTAAGTCTCGCAGTTTGCAATCTCACAGTGCATAAAAAACACGCAGTGTGTGAAATTGTTCTTGGTACAACGATCTCTGACGCAATTTTTCACATGTAATTTTTTGAGGTATATTTGTTCCCAGTAAACGAGAAATTATTGAAAGCTCAGAAATAGGATTGAAAATTATTGAGAAGAATTAAATAAAATTCAGCATCATCGTAAATAAATTCTTCTCAGTAATTTTTAATCCTATTTCTGAACTTTCAATAATTTCTCGTTTACTAGGTTATATGCATAAAAAGCTCTTTATGATGAAATCAAAATGAGCTCAGAAGTCGACGCATCCGAGTACATTATGAGCACGTTCTAACCACCTTCTGATCTAAATTTATCAACTCAGAAAAATTGTTGGAACTCTTTAGGAGTATTATATGAGGTCATCATGCTGTCTGGGAACGATTGCAACAATTGCGGTAACCAGCGAAAGTTTTCGCCGACGATAAACTTCACGACGAAATTTACCGCACGAAAACTTTGCTTATCCGACGATAATAATTATAATCGTGCAATAGGCCGAATTTAACGAAAGGTTCTGCGATTGCATTAATATTTAAATATCGCGAGTAACAATCATTAATTGTGAACCTCTCCTCGCAATTTCTACAGCAAAGACGTGCGACTGCCTATTCAGCTGCAGCGTGCCATGGCGGCGGAAGCTGAGGCTGCACGCGAGGCACGCGCCAAGGTGAGACGTCAATAAAACAGCGAGATATTCATTATTTCGCCGAGTCGAGTCTGTAATTGCATAATTATTTTTCCAGGTGATCGCCGCGGAAGGTGAACAGAAAGCCAGCAGGGCTCTGAGGGAGGCGTCAGAGGTCATCGGCGATTCCCCGGCTGCCCTGCAGCTCCGTTACTTGCAGGTGAGAAATTTATTATCCCTTATTTCTATCGTTACAATCAAGTTATTACATTATTGGACGTTAATTCGCTACTCTTTTCTATTTCAGACGTTGAACACAATATCAGCGGAGAAGAATTCCACCATCGTGTTTCCGCTGCCGATCGATATGCTGACTTACTTCATGAAAGCTTTGCCGAAAGAATAATCGCGCATTGGGGCGTCGTGCGTTCGCGGCACGTAATAATACAGGAAAAAAAAAAAAATTGACGGTTCCCCGAGGTTCTCCGAGGGATGAAGAGTTTTGTTTGACGATTTTTATTCGTATATTTAACACGCTTGCATATTACATACCTACATTTCGACTTCACGGAGTTGCCAATATTCGACCAAAACCGCTGACAATCTCGATTTCGACAGGCTGTAAACTCGTAGAGTTACTTAGAGAAGAACACTTGCGACACGTGATTTTGTCGCGCGGGTTCTCAAACTCGGAAGATCGTACGCGACGCAGACTGAAACACATATTTTTGGAAAATCTTACAAAGTTATTTTATACTGTTGTGTACTGTGAAGAATAATATACATTCGTAAAACGTGATTTAACGATTTATCAATTGCACATTTGGTCCATTTTTGGCGCGACGATGATTTCACGTCAAGATAAATTTATAATTAGATTTAAATTGAAAAACAATATATATAAAATAGTTAAAAAAAAACTGATTAATAATTCGCTTACATACAGATCTTGCACTGCCACTAACGCCAGAACGCGTACGAGACGCGATCGATGTCAATCGATCGAGTGGTTGATACGAAAAAAATTTATTTTGCACACTAATTACTCGATAAATGTTAAAAAATAATTTTTTCTATCTCGTCAATTTTATGACACGCGGCAACATTAAACTGTTATCAATTAACAATCGACAACGACGGCGAATTTCTTTTCTTTATGGTATTACATTACATTTCATCAAGTCAAATATTTAGTCTTTAATACGTTTCTTGATAATGTAAGAGTAATTGATTTTACAATCACTAGAAAAATAATTGTACCTTAACGGCCTGTAACGATTGCTTGGTCCAATATCGGTAACTCTTGCTAGCGCGATATTTATACATTGTTTAATCGATCACTATAGTATTTGCGCTTTAATATTTCTACGATATCTACTTATATAAAAAGAAAATATAAAAAAAAAAAAAAAAAAACAATTAATTACGTATAAATAATCTCGAGAGTACGTTCAGTATTATTTATTTCGTGAAGTATTGAAAAATATTGTAAAACGAAAAGTGAAGTAATGCATATTCGTTAAAAAAAAGCACACAAGAACGTGAAAAGAACGTGAAATTATCGAAGGATACATGCGCGTTGACATGTAACAATATTTTTTCTTTGCATATTCCAAAAAGATCTGATTTATTTATCTGTGTTATGTAAATATTTTTCATACTCGAGAAAAATCATTGCAAGGGGGATCAAGTTTTCACATTTTTAGCTCTAATTGTTCGAAGAGGCAGACGCGAATCGATGTAAGCGACGCGGGAGACCTATTGCGTCGTTTTAAAAGACTTTTAACAAAAATTCTCATTATAACTGTGATGGCTGTTAGATTGTAGAATGAGGTCAGCTCATTTATCTTCATACTCTTTTAAATAAAGTGAGCTGGCCGTTGTCTCACTTCCGCGTACATAATTGCGAATGCGAGCGACGGTACTTACTTCGCATTAAGATATAAAGACCGTTTCGATCCATAATATGTATAAATAATAATCAGAGATGGTTGCAATAAGATATATTGTCGCGATACGATTATGCGACGATAATCAGTGGATTCAGCGCTGTTTCCGCCATCTAGTATCTACATACACAGTGATTCACGAAATTTTGTTTTCTTGAAAATTTCAAAAAACTTTAAATGTCTATTATCTTTTCAATCTAGAAGGAATATCTATATCCTTGCGGTAATATATTATAAAAGACTTGTTTCCGTTCTTTTATATATAAAATATTTGTTCTCTTCTTTCTTTTTTTCATTATACTTGAAAATATTTTTTTTTTTAAATATTTTGCTTATTTTTATGAATCACTATATATAATATAATAGTGTTGTCCAATGCATCTCCCACACGTACTTATACATACACATGTACGTATACTGTCATTCTACGATCATTCTCAAATATCACTGAGGCTTTTCATTTTCGAAGAGTGAGAAAGCTACCTCTCTGCTTTTTGTTGCATTAATGCATATACACACGTTCGTCTGTAGCGTTGATTTAAATTACATTATATTCTCTCTAATCAGTCTACCGATTTGTAGACGTCAACTACGCAAAGTTTGTGAATATTATAAATGTTCTAATCGTAATGTTCTACCGCTTAGTCTGTACAGTTAATCAACTAAACACACATTTACCAGCACGATTATTTTTCTGATTATTAAAAACGATATATATATATTCTCTATCGTTCTTTTTTATGATTCTTAATTGATAGTTTATCAGTTAATACATTTCATCATCGGTTCTCTCTATGCAAATATTGAAGATTCGAAAAAATGTAATTCCCCCTTCCTTTTAGATTATTCTTCGATCTGTAAGAATGTATGCGATACATTTTAATAAAAAGAATATTTGTTGAGAGGACGAGCACTTTTTGATTTATATAACGGCACGCAATCTCTTCATAAAAATAAATCCATCAGTTGTTTAAGCGCGTTTGTTATGTCGTTATACATTTAAGGAAAAATATGTGTGTTAAAAATTTCGAAATAAAAGTTGGGATTCCGCAAACCTACTGTCTTCCGTTTTAATCCTACAAATTGTACTTAACGATTTATCAAACAACTTATCTTAATTTTGTCGTGCACGGTTGTTGCACGTAATTCAAACAAAAACCTCTGTTCCCGACATCGCCAGGTGCTTCAGTGCTGTCCGTGTGAAAAATCAACCTGAACGGCTTCACAGTGCCTGAAAAAAGATTGAAGAAATTCGTATATAAAATGATCAATACAAATTTATTTATTTATTAAATGTGCGGATGAATATTAAATACACAATAATAGACGTTTTATTTTTTTTTTAACAGTTTGTAAATGTTTGTAGCTCTTTGTGACAAATTACGCACCATTTTACACATCAAAAAATTCAAAAGAGTAACAAAAAAATACTCACTGATAACAGATGACCCGTTCAAGTTTTGGGCTTCTGAATTGAAAGTGCCGCCGCATAATCGATCGACGCACATTAGCGGTGCTGTGGGCATCCGGCCCAGATTCGTAGCACACGGTATCGATAGCCAATCGGTCAAACAAGACGTTCCCGTCATCGACGCGATTTGTGTGTTCTGCGTATTTCCCGTCAACGTGAACGCGTTGCTGCGCATTATTTGACCCGCTGGACCCGCCGGAGCAGGCGGGATCATCATCCCTTGAGCTGTGAACGAATCACGCGAAAAAATATTAACGCTTCAAACACAGATGGAAATTATATAAAATCATTAAAATATTTCTTTCAATTATATATTACGCACATTTTGTTTTCAATATAAAAATAGATTTAAAAGAAAAGTTGTTTGTGCGTCTTGCGATTGACAAGAATTCTTATCAAAGCTTCAATTGTGTAAATATATTTTTTTTTTCTCCGTTTTTGTGTATATTATTGTATATTTTTCTTTCTTACTGTCATCGGAGCACGCCATGTATTGAATCCCGCAGAAGTTTCTCTCCATCCTGATGCATATACTGTAATCTTGATTTGATAATTGCAATCCAGTCGTAGGTTCATAGTTAAAGGACTTTATCTGGCCAGAAACCCCGGTGAAGTATTGGAGGCATCCCTCTTCGGCACGATAAATCGTGCTGCATTGTATTTGCGAGACACGGACTTTCCACGAACGCGGAAACGAGCTGCCGCTCGTTACGAAAGTCAGAGTAATCGGATTGGTTTGTCCGACGCCTGTATCTACGTACACTGTAAAAAGTATTTATTTATCAATTTATTTAAAATCAATCCCAATTTTTATCCAACAAAAAATGAAAAAAGAAACAAGATTATTGACGCACAATTGCAGATACGAAGCGCTTTAATTGAACAATTTGTAGCGAGAATAAAAGTAATGTAAAATATAAATGAAATAAAGTATCGATAAAGAAGGATAAAATAATCTCTCTATTTTGTTTAATACTCACTGTGATTTCCGTTATTGTTACCGCATATTGTCGGCACTGGGTTGCCGCCGGAAACGATAAATTGGTCGTAAGTGCAAACGTTGTTCGTCGTTTCCGGGCCTCTGATACTGAATTGTGTAAAGTCCAATCTGCAATCCATCAGCGGCAATTAAATGCAAGTGTTTTTGTAAATTTCTAGCAATTAAAAGTTTCGAAAATGTTTAAAAACGTACCGATACTGGCACACGTCTGGATGTGACTTTATCAGCGTCACTTGACAGGATTCCATACCGTCGAAGGCGGACGGATAATTTGGATTGACAAAATATGTATTGTTATCGGCGGTCGTACCTCCGCAGGACACCGTGACTGGCGGAAGTGAAGGGAAAATAAATCGAAAAATTTTGATTAAGCTACAAGAATATCTAAGCTGTCGGTGTGAAAGATGTTGAACGTTTCAAATCATCAGTTTAGTGCAACAACTGACATTTCAGAAATATTTAGTAATTTTCGTACGCTAAATAAATCGTGGAGATTCTTCTGTAAAGTATTCAAACGTTCATATCTACCTATACAACAAACCCCATAGCCGTTCGCGCAAACGCCGCTGGAAACACCGCCACGCTGCGCGCATTCTGCCGCTGCGACGCACGTGCCATTCTCGCCGTTTAATCCGCCACAGATGTTGTTGTCGAACTTTACCAATGTGAATAGTGAGAAGACTGCACACAGTAATGCAATAAATAATCTTATATAACTTGAATAAATTTAATATTTTTCGTCACAAACGTATTTTATATTTATGTAGAATATATTTTTAATTTAACCTTTTGCTGCAACGATTCTGTTATCTCTTTTATTTTAGTAAGTAAATAAAAATAATGATGGAAAATTTATTTCTATGATTTAATTTCTCTTTGCGTGTCATATATTTTACTCAACATTTTTACTTACGTCTTTTCTCTCGAACGGCTTGAGTCCGATTGTTGTTTTGTAATTCCCAATTACGTCTCGTGTTTTGAAACGAAACGCCGGGACCGCTGTTATCATTTATTTGCCACAATCGTCTTCTATCTCCGATTCGATGCCTGCCGCGAGTATTCCAGGCATCGGCGCAGATGTGAAGCGTAACGCAGCATATCAGAAGCGCGATTAACGATCGTTTCTCGGCCATCTTAAGAATTCGCGATGTGGAGTTTCGATGTGTTCATGAAGCGACGTTGAAAAAAATTTACTCACTGCTATTATATTGCAAATACACTGTCGTTCCTTTATTGAACTTTCTGAACATAGAATTCTCAACATAAATTTCGTTCGTCAGTCGCGATGTTACAGGAATTGTCGCAGGAGGTCCGCGCATTTTACCGAACGAGACGTCGACTCACTCCTGCGATTCCGAGGTGTCAAGTCTAATATACCCAGAGACACTATTTACACGGTCTGCAAACCATGCAGCAAATTGCAGCGTACAATCGAGTCGTCGCGCTTAGGTGTTCGCCTGCACATGAAGATTTTAGGGAAAGTCGCGAGAAATTTAATTGATGCCATGATTGATAGTATTGTTTTTGTCTCCTGAGTCGCGATAAGCGCCTCGCTTTCTCGCAGATCGCTACAATTATGATTGGACGCCGTTGAATAAGAGGCGTGAAAACGCGAAACCCTCGCGAGACGGGTTTGGAAAGTTGCTCACAAAAAATGGATTTCGTCACTAAGATTCAAGTGATAAAGTGACGGAGAAAAGGGACACAATTGAGGGACCAGACAGACCTACCGTTAAATGAGAAAGCCGCCGCTGCCGTCGTTGCTCGTGCGCGCTGCCGCTTTTCTAAATTATTCCACCGCTCGTCATTTGTCATCGTGATGTGTACGTTCCGAGATGCACGCGGCAGATAGGACAGTGGTGGTCCACATTATTGCAAGAGTCAACGCAGTAAGGAATCATGCAACATGGCCAACACCTACGACGCAGAAATCGGACAATAGCGCGCCATTCTTTAACTCTCCGCCAGTCCGTAACGTAATTTTTTGCATTACCTAGAATGCCATCGATTTAATAAACCGCTAGTAATAATTGCAAGCATATCAACTATCGTATTTTATGATTTTCTTAAAACCTTGATTCCTAAAAAAAAAAAAAATACGGAATATTATTCTTCTTTCAGACAGCAAAAAAGCTGGCGCGAGACGCGATCGTGCGTCTCTCGATTAAGAAAATAGTAAAATCTAATAAAGCTCTACGATTCTTACAAAACTATCGGCTTAAGATTATATTGAATGTTATGTTGCAAATGTTGATGTTGCAATAAAATATTACTTGTCATTTTCACGTACGTACCCGAACAGAAAGAGCGTTAACGCTGCGATGTGAGAGATCGTAGACCGACGTATTACGACAACAGTGATAATGAGTGCTTCGCATCGAGGACATATCGCGGCTGCAGGTACTCGTGACCAGTTGTTTATCGCTGAAAACAATTATATTACATTGCAATTTTGTTAATTATCTCAAAACTGTTTGCAAGTTTATCGCGCGAGTCGATTGTTATCGGGTAAATTTTACAAAGAGAAACGTTAAATTGGTGATTTCATGTCTCATTACCATCTCAGTATGAGATTAAATCATTTACTTAGCATGAGCTTGAATTTTTCAATAGAACAAGAATGACAAATTGAACATGTATTTGCACAGCATTTGATAATCTCCGAATCATTCGTAAATTAATTGTCATGTGACTCATAATTTTAAAAATGAAACAAGTATTTTTGGAAAATAAATGGATTCCATTCGAATTTTAAATAAATATGCCGATTTAAGAGAAATCTTTCCAGACTAATTGCTAAGAAACTTTAAGACTGTTGTACAAGGTAGAGAAACCAACGGATTCCTCGACGATTCCGCGAGACTCATCTCCTGAGCTTGAACGTAAGTGGGCGGCGGAATTCTCGCCATGATAATGGACGATCGATCAGTTATTGGAAAAGTGAGTTCATTGGACGTCGAACCGTTGAATATAGAAGAGTATGTGGGCGGTGCACCTCTTGAGGAAGGAATATCCTGCGGCATATAAATGATTTTGTCTCAATTAATATTACTTATAATACTATACACTACAAAAAAATATTTCGCTGATGTAGTTAGATTTCTAGATATCGCAACAAGAATGTATCGCTATTTTTCGTATCTGTGAAAACATTGTTTGTCACATACAGAATTTATAGCAGTAATGTTCTAGCAATAGCTTCTGAAAAATTTAGGTACCATTGCTAAATGTTATTCATTGCATGATCTAACACGTGATTGATCTTATATAGATAGGCGCTTTAGAGAAACTTTCTTTTTAAAGTTCACAAACAATACAGATATATATTCTGTTTCTGTCATCTAAACTGATTAAGTAATTACATATGCAATATCACAACAGTTGCTAATCATTTGTCTGTTTTAGTTAATTTTTTACACCTAGAAAATTTTAGCTATTATTGCAACATCATTTTTTTGAGTGTACAAAATGTATTGCAGAGAATATTCTAAACGACGATCCCGATCGATATGAAACGATAAATGTGTATTTGTTTATGTACTTCATGTGCGCGAGGACACTGAGACATTGCTTTTGTCTTTTGAGAAAGTCCGTGAATGTTATCAACGACGAATGAGACGCACGAAAAGGAATAAAATATTACGAGCTGTATGTGATCGCGAGCAAGCGCGGCAAAAGAGACGAAACTGAGTTGTTCAGAGAGTATAAAGAATGCAAGATTGAAATGATCAGAAAAAGTACCAGAACACATAAGAAAAATAAAACTTCTAACGAATTTGACAACGCACATATCAAATAATTTTCTTTAAGCTACTGCAATATATCATTTTTTCGTTGCATTTATAAATACAAATCCTTAGCACATGATTCTTCTGAGAAATATAATTTTGATAAGCAGCGCCTAAAAAGATGTAGCTTTGTAAAAAGAATAATTTTGCCGAAATATGCGTAAAAAAAAATCGTTCTTATTGCATACAGTTTGTACATTGCATATTATTGTATGCCATATTGTTTAGCCTTCTTTTATACATTTTGAGAGTTGACGCGTCCGAGATCTTTCAGATAGCAGTTTGCAAAGTCACGTACCTCGTCTCTTGCAGATGTGCACCGGAAGCAATTACTAAGTTTCCATCGTCGTCGTGATTCTCGGCGGTTTCTCACATCGACAGATAATTGATCAATCCGCGATCTATTTAGAAATTGATAGTTTGACGCATCAAGCTGCGAAAACGCATGACATGATTCTTGTAGATTAGACCCATATAGATCTCGAACTGCTTATGAGAAATAACAAATTCGGAATAAATACATATAAAATTTCCATTTCTAACTTTTTTTTTATTACCTGACATTTGTCCGATATTTTCAACAGCAATCGTTTGCCATTCATTATTATTTAAAAGAGTTGAGGCTTCTCTGATGTTCATATTTCACAATATTTGCTGAAATAATACAAAGATCACTGAGAAATTAAATTATATAAATGTGGTCTAAAAAATATATATATATTATATATTTATTGTTTATTATATTATTATTGTATATTATATTACTAATTATATATTATATTATTATTATATTAATAATATTTTATTATTTGGATTTGATTATTTGTATTAGCGCTCTTTTAGATGATAATTTTTACCTGACTCTGCCATAATCAATCCCGTGATTCAAGAGAATCACGCTTTTATAATATCGACGTTTCGGACAAGTCGCTGATGGATAAATGTCATATTTCTTTCCGAGATTCGGAACGATCATCTCCAATTTTTTAATTATTTGTAACCAGGCCGCTGTGCAATTTGTATCGTGCATACATGATTCTGTAATTTGTTATGATCTGCTACGTGCAATGAAATTAATGCGATTCAAAAAGCAAAAATATTTTACACAAATATTATTAATATATTATCGATTTTACGATTTTTGAAATTAATGTTCAAAGATTTTATTTTACATTTTTGACATTTATTGGGTATAAATTTATTCAGATAACCTATTTACGAATTGTTATTTAGGTTGTAACATTTAAAATCTTTCGAATTAAAAATATGTAATACATAAAATATACATACTTATAAAATTTAAAATAACGTGAAGAGTGAAAGATATGCTCAAGGACTATAGATATTATCCGGGACGAAAATTTTTGTCGCTCCAAGATTCGATAAATCGAATAATCATGCAGCGCTACGACGCGGCGTCGGGCATGCGCATGCGAGTGGCTTGCCGAGTGGTGACGAATGAAGCGTCGGTGGCTCGGTGCGACGTACGGCGGCGAAGAGGCGAGGTGACGAAGGTGCGGCGAGGCGAGGCGAGAACAGCCGAAATGGAGGAGAACCAAACATCGGAAAGTGTCGCCGTGCTACCGGACATGTCCGAACCGTTGACGAGCGAGACCGAGGAGGCGGCCACGCTGACGAGCGAACACGAGGCGCATCCCGTGGCGGTTACAGCGAGCGTCACTGCGGTACCGGGTGTATCAGGTGTGCCTGGAGTCGGTGTGCCGGTTTCTCTACCTGTTGGCGTAGCGAACATCATCGGCGTAGCGAACACCAATGGCACGACCTTCAACGTCATCACCTCGGATCAGCTGCAGGTGCGTTCGTAGGGCTGCGATAAATATACACGGGCGCGCGCGAGAAAGACGTTCTTAACGATCCTTTAGAAGAAAATTTCGTGAACAATCGGTGGCGTGTTTTTCCTCCTTTATGCGATCCATCATTCGCGATGACGCGTAGGAGTGCGCCTGTCCAATGCGAGATGACAATGTAAAAACACGTGTCCTTTCGTCCACGTTACGCACTCGTTCGATTTGTCGCGGATAAATTTTAATCTTGATGATTAAACCGTGATGCAACTTCAATATGTAACATGAATCTGTATATATTCTCGTGTGAGATCTAATTTCTTATATTTACTCGCTTATTACTTCATTTTATTAATCATACAATGCTTTTATGCTATGAATTTGGCTTCACTGTGAGCACAATTTTTTTCTAGGTCAAGAAACACATTCTTTTACAAGTAAAAGAGCATGTCAGTTTGAGATCAATATTAGAGACAGGTTAAATATAGGTTAAATGTAATATATATCTACACTGAGAAGTAATTTAAACCATAATAATTTTAATTTAAACCATATTAGCAGCTGTCGGGGTCGGGGCAGTTCAAACAGATGCTATGCGTCGACAATGGATTCATTTGTGAACCGCGTCACGAAAAAGAAGATCCTCTGCGTTGGAATGGTGAGCTGAAGACAACCCACATAGTAATACAGAATAGTGCAGATGAAGCGGAACCAGAGCACATACACGTGTCCACACCTACCTCTCAGCCAATATACAGTTGGTCTGAGTCAGCAAATTTAGCAGTTCTGCCGGTCAGATGTAAGAATACGAATGCGGAATTGCATAAGAGCAGATTTGGATCAGGTGGCAGGGGACGATGTATCAAACTTGGGTCAGATTGGTACACGCCCAGCGAATTTGAGGCCCTTTGCGGACGGGCGTCTAGCAAAGACTGGAAACGGAGTATTCGATTCGGCGGGAGAAGTCTGCAAACCCTCATCGACGAACAGATCTTAAAGCCTCATGCCACATCCTGCACGTGTGCGGCGTGTTGCGATGATGATAGCGCAGTAAGTAGATTATTATTGATAACAAAATATACTGTTTAAATACAATCTCTTCTAAAGGCTAATGATTATTGGAAAACTAAGTTCTTAATGGTATAATCAAAATTTTTTAAATGTAATATTTGTCAATTTCTATAATAATTTCTTTATTTTGATGGAATGTTTTAAACAAATTACAATCAATTTTTTACTTTCAAGGCAGACTAAATAAAAGGGAGTAGTTTTGTTTTTATTATGTACACGATAAATGTAAAACGATAGCGAAATCATGTGATACTATGACTACAACGTAGCGTGCAAATAATTTTACTTTTTGGACATATAGAAATTTTAAGTCAATTCCACTTCTAAGTTTATAACTGTATGATGCTGTTGACTTGCTCAGACGGGACCTGTACGACTGTTCACCCCGTACAAGCGTCGAAGAAGAACCAGGGATCCATCTGAGGGAGAACCTGCCACGCGCAAACACAAACTCGAGAATTCACGCGACGGCAGTAACAATGAAGAGAGCGGCGACGAGATTGTCGTGCCGGACAAGGAAGTCTGGCCGCAGTTTGTCTCCACAGATGGACTGGTCGTGCATCAACCCCAGGAACAGGACACGGTCGTGCAGAACGTGCATCAAACGGAGAATGGCCAAGGCGACGATATCTTCAAAAAATTGGAAGATATGTCGAGCAAAATGATAAAGCTTGCTTACGAATTTAAACGTACTTTAGAAGAGACGAAGGAGTTGAGCAGGCAGCAAAGACGAGAGCAGGCGTTAGTCGCGCAGCTCGGAGGACGAGGGGACGTTATTGAAACTGTTGGATTACAACCGACATCTGATACACATAATAAAAAGGTGAAAGAGTGCTGCAGAAAGATATACATATAGAGACATTTGCTTTTATTTTTTGTTCCATATTTTCTTACCAGTGCAATTAAATATCCTAGTTTTTTATTTGCAAGGATAAGATTTTTTGCTTCCTTTTTTTATAGCAATTTTTAACTATAGCGTTTGAAATTATTTCCGTATACAAAAATATTGAAAAATTGTAATAGAAAAGTTATTTAGCGTTATGAAGCGTTTTTCTGATAATTTGGAAAAAATGTATCCCATATTCGTAATTAATATTAATAGTAATAATAATGAATTTCAGTGTGCCAATTGCAATCGGGAAGCATTCGCGGAATGCTCTTTATGCAGACGCACACCCTACTGTTCCACATTTTGTCAACGCAAGGATTGGGGTAGCCACCAGATGGAATGTGTGAGGGGTGCGGCTGAGACCGTGATGCTTATAGTAGAGAGTAGCAACGGGGACACGAGCGCCCTCCCAACGACTACAACGGACCAATAGCTAGTGTTTCTCACGCCGATTCAGCAAAAGCATACAGAAAATGAAGAATCTGACGTGGAAGTATCAAAATTCAAGAAAGAGACGAAGACTTGAAGCGAAGTTACACAAGAATTAAAATAATGTATATAAATGTGTGTGCGTGTGTGTGGTAGAAAAATATTTTGTACGTGTGTGTGTATATATATATACACACACATGTTACAAATAGCGTTTTTGAATGAATGGATTTTGATCGACTCAAGGAACTTGAATTCATAATAAAATAAGGATTAATTGATCCGCGATTAATTAAAATTTATTTATTCGAAAACGCTAATATACAAAGCGCATCAAATACAAATATCTCGTGATACCAGCTAACATTAGATTGCTGTCAAAAACAGATGTTACGGGAGACATAGAATAGTTTATATGTATATAGGCTTCAAGCAAAGAACATGAGTTGATGCAAATCTCTACAATTTTTATAGTTCAATCTATCTTTAAAATCGTATTTAGTATTAATTATATAGAATACAAGATCAAGCTATGGAAACCGGTGTAGAAGTCGATTTGTGTCAACCTGTACTCTTTACTGAAAAGCAATTAGCATTAGATTACATTGAGTTCTCGTGAGTTTTACCGCAAGATTTATCAATTTAACATATATACAAACTATGTATGTATGTTGAATTGATATCTTGCAACTTGTAAAACTCACGAGGCTCAATATTCTTTGAAAAAAACAACAAAAAAACAAAAAAAATTGTCAAGATGTGTAAAGCACTGTAATAACAAAATAGCACTGCGGCATAAAGATATTATCATATGTACATATATATCACTTTATAAACAAATATCCGATTTTATAGATTAATTATTTACATATGCGAGAATATTTGCAATCTTAAATGAATTATTTTCAAATGTGTAAACGACAAATGACCAAAGGCGGCAATCTCTGAAATTCTGCAAAAAATATGTAGTTTCACATGAAGAAGTTCACATGTCGAATACATCCTCGAATGTATCATTCATTGCAAATTATATATGTATTATATCATCTTTTTTAGTACACACATACACACATTCACACACACACACACACACACACATTTTATTTAAAAACTTTTAATGTTTGTTAATGTTTAGTACAAATATCAGATAGATATTAATAACAGGGTGTCTACTAAGGAAAATGAGAAAAGCTTGAAAGACTCGCATGATCTTTTTTTCTACTTAGAGAAATCAGAAAATTTTACCGATTAAAGGAATTTTTCTTCTAATTCTTCGTGATAATTTGCTTTTATTTAAAAATTCTAATGGATTTATCTCTATCTTTTCTTTTTAGTATTCTTTTAAATGTAATATTCGAAATGGCACTTAATTTTTTTCTATAAATTAATTAAACGGACAGAAAATTCTAAGAAGCTCACACTCATATATGCATGACACATACATAATAAGAAAATTTATCAAATATTTGTATATTTAAAAATCTATTATATCTTACCTTTCGATGATTACTAAAAAAGGAAGTTGATCTTTTCCTAGAGCCAAGTAGACACCTTAAATCTAGGTATCGTAAAACATTTATATAGGTGTGCAGCGAATGATATGACTGCAATGCGTATAAGACCCTTGTATCATAAATGTGCGAAGCTTCGTGTTCAATTTAACTTTATACTTTATAAAAAAATTTTCATAATGTCAAGAATATACAGTTTATATGCAATTTCTTCGAAATGTCTAGGCAATATTGAAAAAAAATCTGTAAAATCTCAATTGATGATGTAATTGATGAAGTTATAAGTTTTTTATATAACATTTATCGATTTCTGAAATAATTTCTTTACAGTAAATTTTTATTTTCGCATAACATTTTTAAAAGAATTGTAATCGCCCTTTTTACGTTCAATTCAAGCTCGATAAAAAAAAAAGCAGTTTTGTCTTCACTATGTACACGATAAATGTGAAATTATAGTAAACTAATGTGATACTGTAAATAAAAACATAGTGTGCGAACAACTTTGCTTTTTAAACGTGTGGAAATTTTATACAAGTTTCGTTTTTAACACATACGCGTAATGTAACAGCCATGTCCTCCTAGTGTGGCTTTAGCTCTTCATCGTGTAGTATTAATTGTACTAATGAAGTGTAATAGCGGTAAGTATGATAAGTAGTTAAAATACATTCGTGAAAAATAACTTCACCGATTAATTATATATTGATGTAGATTTATAGAGAAAAATTATATTTTACAAAGCGTTAAAAACTGTTAAAATACAATCAATAATTCCCATAATGTTTCAATCTGTATAGCAAAGCGGTGCCCGTTCTGTTCGCTATGCTGAGATAACCGCTGGCCGGAGAATAACTGATCATTTGCGGCATACCTATGTTGGTTTGAAACGCTGGAAAGTTCGAGAAGACGGTGAACGAGGGTATGTGCAGCATCTTGAACGCGTTGTGCTTCTCGACCGATGCCGCGCTTAATATTTCTGAAGTCGGATTGAACTTCAGGCTCGTAACGCTGGTCACGAGATTCATTACTATCTTGACAGGTGTGGGACTGCGCTCCTCCCACACCTTCTTCGTATCGTAGATATTAACCACACCTTGCGCGCTACCCGTAGCCACGAACTGACCGCTCGGTGATACGGCAAGTGATGCGCAAGACAGGCAACCGTCGTCTATCGCACGATTGATACACGTGCGAGTATTTACGTCCCACACGTACATTTCGCTGCCGTCTGCGTGAAAAAACGGTTTAAAATTTTTTAAACATCTTGTCAGAAGGTGAAAGCTGAAGCAAAAATCGTAAGAGCCTACTTACCGCCGTGCGTGACAAGTGTTCTACTATCCGGCGTGAATGCTAGTGCTCTACATTTCGAGTTCATCTTGAACGTATGAATCAGTTCTTTTGTACAACTGTGCAACAGATGTATCTGTCCCATTCTTCCACATAACGCTATAAATTTGCCATCAGGAGACACTTCGTAACGCTGGAAACATCAAAAACATTTATATTACGGTATCAATCGAGTTGTACAATTACTTCTGATGCAACACTTGTAATCTCACAAACCTTCATATTTGTAATCCCACGCGGCAGAGGTAATTTGTACGTCTTGTCGTTCATCAAGTCATAAGTGTGACAATATGGATAATATTCGGAACCGAGCAAGACCTCTGTTCCCTCCTTCATAAACGTTGCGTTGCTAATTGGAAACTTTTTAAACAGCATACTGTGTAATTTCTCATTAGTGTGACCATTGACCTACAAAGCAGAAACAATTAAAGAACAATGAATGATGTATATAAATAAAAGAAAACCAAATTAATAATTTTTTATAATTTCTTTCAAAGCTACTGAAAGAATCACAAATAGTTCATCAAATATTAACAAAAATCATCAGTTTTGGTTGAAATAATTTATCGAAATACCTGAAATAATGATAGAATGCCTGCTGTACCAGCAACCAGAGCCACTGTAGATGTTGGATGGAATTCCACACTTGTAATAATCGGTCCTTCTGTGTGAGTGCTTTTGTTCAAAGCCTTGAGTGCTTTAATATCAATAAGATTTTTCGGCAAATTTTTGACTTTCGATGTTTCTAAGTGACAACTATGCTGAAGAAAAAAATAAAGATAATAATAGACAATACAAAAAGATAATAAAGTTTAATTCAGAGATCTCTAAAAGTATTCTACAATACCAAAATACCTTCAAAATATCATTATCTAAGTCAGCGTCAGCTTCATCCTTTGTTTCAAGTTCAGCCCACTTTGGTGCACCCGATAACAATTTATGTCTGTTCTCCAGATACGTCTTATAATATTTTTCTGGTCTCTTACATGGCAGTCTACGATTTTGTGCTCTCAGAGCTGTATTCACCCTGTTATAAAATACAATGCAAATTTATATTGTTTGTACAAAAACGTAAAACATTAAACAATTATCTTTTTTAAAAGAATTAATTTATTCTTTTATGTACATACGTATAATTGTAATCATCATCGTCTTTCCACGCTGCTTTCTTTTTCTCAGATTTGACACTTTCGTCCTCGCTTCCACTTGCAGCATCACAATCTGATTTATCCTGACTCGAATCTCGATTTGAGTCATCACCTACTATCTCTTCATTGTCAATATCAACAGATTTATCTGCTGCTCTCGTCGTAGGTTCATCTTGTAAATTGTTGATGATATCGCTGGGATCGCCGAAAATAATTTTCTCCAGTCTGTAAATTGAATATTCGTGTAATAAAAAGTGTGAAAACAATTGCACTTATCTTATTTTTGCATCTTATACCTAGCTTCCTCGTCAGGATCGTATTCATTCTTTCGTTTTTTCCTCAGCGGAACTAAGAATTTCTGATTGTACAACACCTTCGGACGCGAATGTTTCTTGATTCTTTTCTTATCACTACTCGTCTTACGAGTAAAATCTTTTTTCCGCGTAGTTTTTTTATCCATGTTGTTTTGCTGAATAGATTGAAATCTAAACAAAACTATATAATTTTGCTAAACCTTAGTAATTTTATGTATTCCCATAACCTATTAGCATGTTTTTCTCACGCGGCTACACCAGCGCCACATTTCAGATGCAAGAAGTAAGCAGCATGAATGGAGGGGATACCGCACGCATGCGCAAACCAGAAACACTCCATTTTAGCCGGGATTTAATGTTTCAAATCAACATAGGTATGTCGCAAATGATTAGTTATTCTTCCGCCAGCGGTTATCTCAGTATAGCGAACAGAACAGGTTCCGCTTTACAGATTAAAACATTATGGGAATTATTGATTGTATTTTAAGTCTTTCAGCGCTTTGTAAAATATAATTTCTCTGTATAAACCTACATCAATATATAATTAATCGATGAAGTTACTTTTCACGAATGCATTTTAACTGCTTATCGTACTTACCGCTATTACACTTCATTAGTACAATTAATACTACACAAAGAAGAGCTAAAGCCACTCTAGGAGGATCTGGCTGTTACATTACACATACGAAAACAAAATTATACAGTTTCCACACGTTTAAAAAGCAAAGTTGTTCGCACACTACGTTTTTATTTACAGTATCACATTAGTTTGCTATAATTTCACATCTATCGTGTGAAGACGAAACCTTTTTACGATTACAATAGAATCAAACAAAGTAAAATCAAAATTTGAAAGAGATCTGTCAAAAAAAAACACATCGCGATCAACCGGTGAATCGCGATCGACTGCTTGGACATCCCTGAAATAGAACATATTTATAATACTCATTCACATCATTTTTTATACATCCTCCCGTAGTTTTCGCCGTTTTCGCAATCGGATGACCGCATGCGTGATCGATTTAATGCGCATGTGTACGTACATCCGCAGTGGTACAATATCGGAGTCGCGCGTGCGGCGCCGCGGCCAGGCGTATCGCAGTGCAGTCGGGTGCAAGGTGCGATCGAGTTAGTATGCATGCTTGGTCCGACTCGAGCGTGGTTGCGACTTACTGCTGAAGATACGGGCAGTACGAGGCTCGCTACCCGCCCGCGATGGAGCTGCGCGAGGTAAACCGCGCGTATGGCACCGCGGAAGAGACGATGGAGCTCTTGCCGCAGCACGACAGCGGAGCAGAGTACGAGAGCTACTTCGTCGAATACGCGATGCAGAAGGAGATGATCAATCGTAACCGATGCCCCGCGAGTCGACGATTGCTCAGCCAGGCTGCTCATTTGGAACACAATTTTTCCAATAGCAATCACCTCAAGGTTGGTCCCCGACAGCTGTGACAATCGAATCATTCCTAGATGCATCTCATCCAGAATTTAATCATGCTGAGTTCGTGTAAAGAAGAATCATAAGACTTCGAATGTAAGATTTAAGGGTCTAAGCGAAGAATCCTAATATTTGAACGACGTTATAATTAAAAGTCGCGAATTAGACAGCAGTGCTAAGCGTGTATCTTTTTGAAATGAGAAAACTACCTTGGAAAAAAGAGACTCAAAGATTTTTCTTTTTTTTTTCTTTTCCTTTAAAAATTCACGAGTCTCATAATAATTTATATTTATATCGAGATGTTAATCTGCACAGCATCAGTTATTTTTTTTAAATAGTCTCAGCACTGCCCGAAATCATTGCGTTACGTATTATACAAAATGCTTACAACTTGATGCGATTATCTATTTTGTTGATCAGCATATTTCAGATCTGCATCTTTTTTATCGCATTGCGTGATTTTATGCGCACTCTTTAATTCATTATTTCGTTTCCATAGTTGTACGTAATTCATGAATATTCATTACTATTGATTAGTTGCTATCACACAATTGTGAAAGCGCTTAAAACCAGCACTATTTCTCAGGTATACAGTATACTTTTGAAGCTTTTTTTTAAACCAATTAAAATTTATTATTCTTTATACTTTTTTAAAATAAATTTTAATTATTTATTCGCGGAGCAAGAGATACCTTTTGCCGAATTTCAAATTTTTATATATGTATTTCCGAAACAATTGTATATAAAAAAAATATGTGTAAAAGTTTCTTAGCGAGTCGGTAAATATTAATTTCTTGCAGGATTCACCATGTGCCGGAATCAACATGATTCACACCTCGAGCGAGAACTGGCCGCCGTCCAGGAAACGCGAGGAGGCGACAGCTTTAGAAAATCTCAGGAAGAGGGTAGAACAAAGTAAATTATACAAGGCGGATCGAATAATCGAGTCAGTCGTACCCACTTCGTCCTCACTAAACTACGAACAAACTCAACAACAGCTGGACAATCGGCCGAAACTTTTAAAAAAGGTAAATGGCAGTTCATATTGCGATGTTAGCGTCTGAATATGGAACTGCCACTGTGCTACTACATCAATCAAAGTACTAATCGCAAACTAATCGTAATTGTGTAAAGGGAGGGTCCCAGATGCACACACAGAATTTAATGCACACAGCGGTGTGAACGAGACGGATACAGTGTAAGTCGGACACACATCCAAAATTGGACACAGGAAGAAACAGACACACGAGGGAGCGGATACACGTAGGCGGCGAACAGGATGCGGGAAGAAAACGGGCGCCGAGGGATACATGTAGGTTAGAAACAATCTGAATTGTCCAATTTTCCACACGAAGCGGGATTCCGTCCCGCCGTCGACCGACGCTTTAAGCGGCGAAAACGAGGTCTATAATTGTATATTATTTCACACGGTTTGCTACTTATATGCAAAGCAGGATATTAATATTGCGCCCGTTTGCCAACCTCTATGTATCCGATTCCTTCTGTGTCCTGTTTCTTCCTCTGTTTGCAGCCTTTCTGTGTCCGTTTCTTCTTGTGCCCGTCTCGTTGCTGTGTCCATTAAATTCTGTATGTATCTGGACCTCACTCTTATCGTTAAACGAACCAGATATATTTTCAGTTCATAATAGATCATTTTCATTATGTCCTTGTCTTTCTCAGTGTATGTGTGTAATTGTATTTTTTTTTTTTTCCTTTAATGAAATCGAAGTGAAAAATGTGAAAGAGCACGCGCGCAAAGTATTTGGGTCGATATCTTACATTCAGGACTGGCGCGTATGTCGGTTCCTATTCAGGCCTTGGCACTAAATTCAGTTAAGAACCTACATTATTGATCTTTTTCGTTTTTTAGACCTTTGCTAGTTCGCGCAAATTTATATGTATTTCGATATGTTTACAATCAATTTATAACGTGCGCGTATCGCAGCGTTTTCGAAATGTTAAAGAACAATTGAAAAGTGTACAGTGAATAATTTCAAGTCAAATTAGGCAAGTCTGAGAAGGCGAAAGCAACCAAGGATCTTAAAAACGAAACATGAGGACGAAATATATACATCGCGTACAGCATATCATGTAGAAGTTATATCGAATCTTATGTCGAATAAAGTGGTGCACCGTTGAATTTTCTTGCAGATACTCAGCAACCGACCGATGAGTATCACGCACGATAGAAGCGAGCTGGAAACTGACTGGCGCGATAGCGAATTTATCACCGAATGCCTTTGCTGGCACAACGTTTATCGACAGCGGCATAACGCGTCTCCGTTGACCATGTCGCCTCAGGTGATTATTGAAAGCGAATAGAAAGATGGTAACTTTGTGACGACGAGTATCTCAACGACGCTTGTATCTTACAGTTGTGTGAATACGCCCAGTCGTGGGCAAATCATCTAGCACACACGAATACGTTCTATTATAGAAACGATCGGAACGTAGGTCACAATCTTTACTGTCGTCCCGGCGGCGGTGTTCCTGGCGACGTCACGGGACAAGAAGTCGCGTCCTACTGGTACTCTGCCGTGAGGCAGTACGATTTCCTTAAAGAACCGGATATTCTCCACGCCAATGTAAACGCAGGTAAAAAAGTAGCATTAGATTTAGAGATGAACGTTGTTCGTAGACTAAGCTTCGGTTCTGAAGCTGTTCCTTTCTATAATCCACACTTTCGTTCTGATCTTATTTTATACGTACAAGCTGTAAAATTTATATATGAATCGAATATTCTCATGAATTCACACAAGTCTAGAGAAAAGTGTACTTAATTTTTGTATTGTTTGATTTCAAGTCCACCGCTACAAACTAGAGTGGCGTATATATTATCGTAATCGTGGAAAAAGATTTGTAGTTCTAGAAATAAAAAATTGAGCTGGAGAAAGTAAAATCTCGCCGACTCCGGAGTCCCTTTAACACGGAGAAACCTCTTCCTAGGTCATTTCACGCAGCTGATATGGGCGAGCAGCCGTTTTTTCGGGGTCGGTAAGGCGCGCAGCAGAAGCGGCAAGGTGATCGTGGTAGCGAATTACGAGCCGGTGGGTAACGTGTCCGGTCTGTTTCAAAATAACGTGTTGCCGCCGTTGCCGGAGAATGTGAACGTAGTGCTATCGCCGCCATCCGTGCGAGTGCAGCGAACAGCGAACTGCGAGCTGCTGAGGTCGACGCCGTTGCCGGCACCGTTGTCGGACACCGCGTCGACCGGCAGCGACACCATGTCCGTCAGCTCCGGCCAATAATACCACGGCCGTGCGAAATGCGTTCTCTGCATCTGCACGCGATGGGCCGAGCGCTGAAGAAGAAGAAGAAGAAGAAGAAGAAGAAGTTCATTTTCTAGAACTTTCGTTCGCCAGCTCTTTACACGCTGCGAATCGAAACACTCCGGGCATGTGAAACGCGATGGCTGATGTCTCTGTTGGAAATGAGTTCAGGAACTGATATTGCTCATTGCATAACGCAAAACACTTCGCAAATGTTCTACGAATCTTTCGCGAACGTTGACTCAACGACGACGTTTCTTCAGGAGTTTCAAAATTTAAAAAAGGTTTCAATTTGTTGACGCACACTTCAAATAAGATTAGACGTCCGATGCTTCTACACAATGAACTTCCTGTCCCCCGTCGATAAATTTGAGCTTTCGCTAAAGTTGACCGCGTTATGCACTTACGAACTAAAGTTTCTTTCGCTTACTATGATCTCTTCGATTAGTAGTAATAAACTATTGAGCACGTGAGAAGTGAGTGAAGTCCAGATGCACACATAATTTAACGGACACAGTATAAGTCGGACATATCCTAAAACGGACACTTTCGTTCAAACCGCTGTATCCATTAAATTCTATGTGCAAGCAAAAGCTGCAAGAGAACATTTAACAAATAGATAGATAGAGATTATACACGCGCAACTATTGTTGCACAACATAGCGTAATGCAATTGTCTTTTTGACTCCAATCGCGATGAAAATGAATTAAACAAACCCGATAACGCGAAATTTCTTTTCAACAATATAGTATATATTATATTAATAATTCTTTATATAAAAATTATTATATTTTATGATAAAAAATATATCAACGAGCTTAAATTTGATAAGAAATTAATCAATTATTAAGGAATGTTGTGTTGCTATCTTTGCTTCAATTGTACAATCATTGATCGATCTATTGAGAAATTTTCTACAAAAATATCGGTCACCGAGTTTTACTGTCTTTAATCACTATTTGCAATAACAATGATAATCAAAGGTACACTGAGCTTCACCGACAATTGTAGCTGATACGAATAGTAGAGATTCGAGGAGTATTATCTGCGATGTATAGTTACAAACAGTGGCGGAACTCTTCACTCTTTTCCAAGTCCCACGTGACATGATATTAAAAAAATGTTGCACTAAACGTAAAAAACAGAATGCTTAAAAAAAAATTAAAATAAGCGAAATTAAAGAAATAAAGAAATGGAGATATTGAGTTGTCCGGAAGGTTCGTGTAGTTTTTTTTTTTTAGATATGTCTCGATATCGTACTTTGCAAATAACTATTTTTATACACGCAATAAAAGACAGCTCTATTGCCGTCTTTAATTTGTTTCGACAAATTTATTTCTATTTCTTTTGTACAAAGATAAAAAACAAAAACTTGATTTGCATTATTTGATACTTTTTTTATTCCTGGAAAAGGAAAAATGTTACCAAACGAGTTAATTGCGATAAAAAAAATATGTTCCGTGTAAACTGAAAGAACTATTCAGAAGTGATTAGCCAAGTTTAAGATCAGAAATATTAAATGTGAAAAATACTCGGATCGACTATCGATGGCGATCATTTATAGTTGTGTTCAATGAAAACTCATAGTAAAAGTTTGTTGCATTGTAAAAGTTAGCTTTAAATTTATCAGAAAGAACCGTTCGTTTAATGAAATTGGGATATATAAATCGCACGAAAAGCTCGCATAAACTTTCCGGATAACAAACTTTCTCTGAAAATAAAAATGTTATAATATTATTATAATAAGGCTACTTAATGTTCGAATAGTATAAAATTGTTGCTCTCTTTCGACTTAAAACTGTTTGCTTACAAGTGTTCTTTTTTTTCTACATGTATAGATTGCGGGCCAAATTGTTAGAGAACTGCGTCATTGTTTGTAATTGACAATAGAGGCTGAAAAGTGAGATGGAAAATAGTATATTTTCGATCTGAGAAAGAGTTGAAAAACTACCACAAACATCGCATTTAGTTTGAATAATTCTTCCGAGTTCATTCGCTGTGCATTTACTCGTCGCACGATACCAAGTGCAAAGTGAAAACTGAAGCTGTGCAGAACACCAAAAAGCTCTGTACGCCTATTTTGTATATTTTAGTATCAAACACTCGCTTAAAGATCTCGTATTTAAATATAGTACGTAAGATATAGCCGTATGATATAAGCTCGAGAGGAGCCTAGTTGACAAATTGCGTCAAACAAAGAGATATAATATTTTGCACATACCTCTTTCCGTCCTGTTATATTAAAAAAAAATGGTTTGCGGAGCGTTAAATTTTCTTAGTGCTTTTAGTATTGATGAACGTTCCTACCGAATGACAAAAACTAGTATATTCCCCAATGATTTGTTCGGGAAGATAATCGAATTCAAAGTAAAAAAAAAAAAAAAAAATTCTCTCAAATGAGATTACAATCAAAGCATGTTGTTGCGATTCACTCTAAGCTGTTCAGAAAAATTTATTAAATGTTAATCTTGAAACGATCAAAGCTTGCGTGATTTAATGGCAAATAAAATTAAAAAGAAAGAGAACGAATTGAATAGAATCAATGCGATCTAGTTTCGTACTTTAAACTTTAAGATTAAAATTGAAGTTAGAAACGAAAAAAACCTTTTTAGATCTGTATTCACATCCTACATTTAGGCGCTAAATATGTCAGATGTGAATATAAACTTTAGTAATTTGGCGTTGTGCTCTTTAAAAAAATTTATTAAAAAATGAATAAAAACTAAAAATTTATTTATTTTAAAACGAGAATGAAGCTACATAGACTTAATTGTAAGACAGATTATATTTCAGAAATTTTTGTTGAAATATGAGAAGAAAAAGTTAGTGTTAAATAAATCAATTGTTACGAAGAGTTTCAAATTAATTTACCTTTAATGTCGAAAAAAAAAGTATCACATTCTGTTCTAATTTTGTCTCTCAAAAGTTGTTAAATATAAATCATCTAGATGGTTCATTCGACAAATGCGATACATATACGCGTGTAGAAATTTTCAAGAGTAATTCAAATATATACATACGAAATTCAATGATTCAAAGATATGTTGGCATGCGCTTCGTAATGTCACAGTAAGTTATAAAAAATTAATACCGCATGCTAGTCATCCAAATTTATGTCGGCCTGTCGAAATAATCGGCAATATCGCTCTCAAATACTTTCGAGCTTCCAAAAGGTTCATTTTTAAAAACCGCGAAAATTGAGCCAGAGCTGTTGATCATCGTCGATACGTTGTCGATACTTTCAATTAATATTAGCGTATTTCGCCAATAAGTATAAATAGAAGGTAGTGAGCGAGGAGAAGGCACATAGAAAAACGTGCGAACGTTAAATATAGCTAACATATATTTTCCGTCAAATATCGTATTTTGCTAATAATATTACATGATATAATAATTAAAAAATATACTGTACTTTGCGACATTACACATTTTGGTACTATAAGTAAAATATAGTAATATTAATAACACTCGTAACAATGAAGTTGCTTTTAGCAACCAGCTGCTATATTAACCTTTTCTACCAGGTTATGAAAAGTTTTACAAAATATAGTGCAAATATATATACGCTCGTTACGCATTAAACGGGGGTACGCCGTTGTCCATTCAATCTCTCTCTCTCTCTTTCTTTCTTTCTCACCCCATCTCTCTCTCTCCCCCCCTCCCTCCTCTCTCTTTCTCTCTGTATGTCTCTTTTTTCTTTTTACTAGATATATATTTTTTTTTCTAAGCTATATTTGATCAACGTCAAGTTTTAATATAATTTTTAATACATTTATAAATGCTCCTGTTTTTCAAAATAATTAATGACTATTAATAATGCTATTTACTTCAACCGACTTAATGATCGAAATTAAAGCTCTACAATTATGGATGATGGTATCTCGCTCATGCATTAATTGTACAACCAGTATATTGCTTAAGAGCGGGAATTCGTTGTAATTACGAACAAAATTCGTCGCACGGCAGCGCGTAACGAACTGCTCAGCGTTATCACTATTGTATCTAAGTGGACAAATGGCAAGGCCAGAATAATGGATTTTACGAAGTATATTTGATACGCATTTCTACTTTTAATGGCAACGAAAAGCGATTGCTAAAGTATCGAAAATTAGTCACAGAGCTTTTCTAACAAAAAAAGCTGGATACTTTATTTATGTAGAAACAAAAATAAAGCACTAGTCATTTGTTTTTTTTTTTTTTTTTTTTTTTTTTGTTAAATAAATCCTCGATCGTACAAATAATGAGGAATATAAATGTTTGTCATTACAGAAAGAAATCACAAACGCAAAACAAATATAATTTCTTGTTTCTCCAACGGAACTCAATATACAAACTCGAGAGCGTGTGAAAATATAAGTGCGAATGATTTCTCGTGCAAGCAATGTTAGTATTTCTCAAGTTGCATTCTGCGCTCTCTCCATTCTCCATCTTCGATCCCCCATTTATCGGAAGATAAGTTGTACAATATTCATAAACTTTAAAAGGAGAAATGTAAAAAGTAAATCACATTCGTAAAAATAATACTAGAAGCATACTTAAGAGTTTTCAAAAATACCATCGAAGAACCTCAAAAAAGTGCGCACAATAATTTAATTTATCTTGACGTAACACAAAACATTGGACGGCGAGGAATGCAAGCAAATGTTGCATAATTTTAATAAATTCACCTAGGCATTGAATGGAAAGTGAATACTTCACACACACACACACACTAGCCGGTGTCTTACTGTCTTGCATTGCGCAAGATCAAATGCTCCCCACTGTTTGTACAGTTATTATGTAAGTTGTTTCTTAAATCCTAATATTGCTACGCTTCGTTTCTCATATCAGATCACTAAGCTCTCTCTGAATATGTAACTTCGATTTTAATTTTGCAAATTTGTTTAAAAGAAAATCATACAAACAATGAATACATCCGACAAGCATCTTAAGTGTCTTTACTTCTTACATTAGTGATGTTTCTTGCGTGGACAGATCTAAAACGAACAAAAGAAAATTCTTCCAGTATTATATTGTGATATAAATATAATGTTAATAAAGCGGGATGATTCTTAAAGTCTTTAACAGTAGCAAAAAAACTAAATTTGATTTCTTGTCACGTCTAAATTTAATAAGATATCAATGTGTTACGTAAGATTTTAGACTTTCTTCGCGAAAATGGGACTAGTGGGACGAATACAGATATATCAAAATAGAAGTTTTTTTATTTGAATTGTTTATATTGTATCTCTCTGCAAAATATCTTCATAAAATAAAGCCGTTGTTTAAATTCTGAGAAATAGTGCCTTTATGAAAGTTTCTATAGAACGTCAGAGTTCAATTGAGTTTTTCTGATGAAAGTCCAAACCATTTTGCATAAAGTTCAAACTTTATACAAAATGGAACCTCAATCCGAGAGCTAAACTAGTGTCGTTTGTATTTCTGGAACGCATTATATAAATATAAATCTATCGCTATTCGTACTTTTTTCCTTTTTACGCACGCAACGCACGCACGCACCGTCTCTCTCTCTTCTCTCCTTTTTTTCATTTTCTATTTTACCTTTCAGTTACGTTCACTATTTTTTTTTTCGTATTCTGTTAAGTGCATAATGGCATAAGTATGCAAATCGTGTGTAATTATACAATTTAAATATGTATCAGAATCTTTCGCGTCTGAGATAAATATAAAACTAATGCGTACACGACAATTATGCTGCCCGGCCTACTGTTCTCCTCTCTATGTACACTCGCGAAACGATTCGCAACCCCTCGACGAACTTAGCAGTCCTCGCGAGCTTTATTCTATACCACACTGATCGCGATAGATTACTTTATAAAAAGATTACGTTGGTCCGGAAATAATCAAGAGTATAGAATACGTGGAATATGAGAACAGTCGGACAGAGCTTTCTTCTTCTCGCCGTAAATAACAAATACAATCCGTAAACGTTATCGTTATGTTATTAATGGTCCTTCTTCGCAGAACACACGACGATTTTTGGTCAAAGAGCTATACAAAATTTTGTTTGTACTTTGACGCTGTGTGAAGAATCATCAGCTAATTCAATTCATCTTAAATGCAAAAAAAATTCTCATTATTTATCAGGTATCATAAAAAAATTAATAAAATTATCGCATGTAAAACTACAGATACAGGTGAGCATAGTTCTCTCTTTCTCTCTCTCTCTCTCTCTCTCTCTGTATGTCTGCCTTTATGCGACAGAAAACACATGATAAGGTATCTATAATGCTCGGGGAAAAAAAGGTACAAGACATTTTAAGGTGGTTCGAGCGTGACAGTGTTGGCTAAAAATAATGCTTTTGAGAAGACAGCAGGATAAGAAATTCTCATTTATACACACGAAACTTTTAGCTATAATCGCCCAAAATGCCATAGTCTGATATGTGTATTAAACTATACACTGTGCATTATCGTAAATGTGACAACAGTGTGTTGATTATAATTTATGAAATTCTAATCTGTATTATGATCGTATATTCTGTTCGTAATTGTGATATAAAATACGTCGACGAGAGTGAGAAAACACGGAAAGTAGATTAAAAAGTGCGCATTCACATTAACCGTAACGTCACAATAATGCAGTGTTGTCACAATGTTATATCAGTGCTTCATCATTAAGTAATGTAATAAAAATCTTCAAATTTCAAACTTTAATTTCTCAATAATTAACAACGATCGTAATTTTTTTCTAAAAGCTTTATTATGAATTTACTTATTAACTAGGTTTTTTTATCGAAATCGTAAAAATAGTTTTTTTTTATTACAACACATAATTAAATATAACATCGACTTTTCACATGAGACGATGTGTAAAAGTTTCTTACTTTGAGGTCAAATATCTTAGCAATTAATGAGTCAATATTGTTGAAATTGCGAGATTATATTTACGAAGTCTCTGAGTACGAATGGCATAAATTTGAATAATTTCTTAAGAAAATTAAGTAACGCTCGCACCACCTTAAGCATTATATACGTAAATTTTCAACAGATAAAAAGCAAATACAAATAAATTTCACATATAAATCTATCTCTGTATATTTTCTGCTAATAATAAAAATAGCCTTTCTCGATCAAATAACTATTATTCTTTTAAATTTTTTGAAAGTTGAATTATATTTATAGACATTACTATTTTCTTATTTTTTATATGTATAAACTTAATGATGATTAGGCAATACTATTTAGTGAAGTTAATCACGATGCTTTATATATATGCTAGATGATATAAATTTTAGAAACATTATACGTCTTTATCTTGTATACTAACATCCCTTCGATTACGCCTTTCATAAATGTGATTTTCCTTCAAGCATTTTAGATATCTCGGAAAACATTTCAATTATCTTAAATCACTAAAGCCTGAAAATAAGGAAAATGCAACATTCAAGTTCTATTACTATTGGTGTTATTATTGCCGCTGATATTGTTGATATTATTGTTGTTATTGTTAGAATTGAGCGGGCTGCTAATGTTGTCGATCTCGCGCTGAGCGCGTGAAATCTTTACCTTGTCCCGCGGCGTGCCGTCCTCGCCGGTTTCCATCGCAAACATCTTCATCTTCTCCTTGAAGCTGAGTTTCTCTGGCACCGCGCCGATTTGTAAATTTTGCTGCTTCTGTTTCTCCGCCAATCGTTTTTGCCTTGGATCCCTGAACACGCGCATTATTCAATATATCGCGATAAAAAAATCGATATTCGTTCGGTGAAAAAGGACTACACACACTTGGGTGGATCAAGAAGGGTTTTTTTCCCGTTCCAAGTGTATGCGATCCCGTTAACCTCAAAATTTTATAAGTAAACTTACTTGTACACTTCTTGAGCCCCGATCACTCCGGGAGTGGCGCCGCTAAACGAAGTTCCGGATCCTTCCGGTGTTTTCGGGGATGCTAATAGATTCTCTGCGTCGTTGATAAAATTCTGAAGGCACAATTGAATGACAGATTACGTATGTACAATACGATGTATGTATTGCACATGTGTATATATACTTCACATCGAACGATCAATTTAATTATTTGCAAATTTCGAAGATGTGCAACAAAACTATTGACACAAGAAGTGTTCCGTGCGGAAAGGGTCATCGTATGATGCGAGCGATTACCTTGTAGAAGGAAGGATTGAAGAAATTTCGAATCTTTTAAGATTGCAATAAGAACCAAGCGCGCGAGCGTCGAAACCCGCGGAAATTAGAAGCAAAACGAGCAACCCACGCTCAATTGTCACGTGAAGACCACGATTGGGATTAAGTGCTTCAATTTCTAACGCGTTTGTAATCTTAACTGAATGTCTTTGTACGATTGAACTTGTTTTAAAAATGGCTGCCACTTTACGAGATTAGAAATACAGCGTTTTATTTTAGAAAATAAAGTTGACTTTGAAATTTTCTCAATGCTTTCACACAAGATAGTCATGTTTCGTGTATATATGATGTGCCTTTCCGTAACGAAAACTTATTGCATCAACAATTTCGTTATTATCCTTCCTCAATTATGTAAACAATTATTTTATACGAATCATCTCGTGTGTATTTGCATGCGCGCGCGTAATATGTCGATATGTAGCAAATGAATAATCAATAAAAGCCTCAAATACGTGTAACAATAAATTATAGCGCAATATAGCAGTGATGGAATATTATATCGCAATTCCGCTCGATTACAGCGTCGAGATTTATCTCACATTCTGACGCTCAAATTCGAGTCGTATCTTAATTCGCTGATCAGTCGTCTCGCTCATTCTTTCTCGATGATAAAAAGGCAATAGTTTCTGAAAGATTTAACAAGTTCGCCGCTCGATCAGTCGCAAATGTTGACCAATTATATCCAATCACTACTGTATTTGTATTATGTCTTATATAAATTGCATATGCAAATATGCCTCAGCGAGAATGTAACTCAAGAGCGATAGGTTATCTATTTAACATAAAAATTCAGCACATGCTATAATGTATTACATTAATTACGTTTAAAGATATTAATTGAATAATCGAAAGTACATCGGTCATTATTTCTTAAGGCATCTATTTAACTGACTTATACGATTAAATCAATTGGAACGTATTTTAATATCTAATAGCAATAAACGCGCAATAAATACACATCACTGATTAAATTCTTGCCAGAGCATTCGAAGAATGCTCTGCGATTGTGATATGTAATTTCTTGGGTATAATTAATGTATGCGCGAAGCAACGATCATAGAAACTAGCATCATGTCATGTACAACATGAAACACGAATGTAAATCACATAAAATGAGATACAAAGAAGACACAATTAATAAACACGACGAAACAGTACATTCGAATGAGAGAACCGAGGAAAAATCAAAAAGAGGGATTTGGCAATCGAACAAGTTCCGCCACTTTTTGACTTTCCCTAGTATGATCACTAGATGATATAATCACTATAAACGCTTCATGCATCGCATGTTAAATGTATACACCATAATATAGATTGTATGACATAGCAACAATCTGTTTCAAAATGTATACTTTACTTGTTTATCTGCCATCGTATGCATTTCGACAGAATATTAATATTTATAACGAATTTATATTGATGACAAGTTAATCCCTTGTGAGATATATTAATTTTGTTTCATTAATTATATAAACCATGTATCCAAAAATAAAAAAATAAAAACTACATAGCTTCGAACAATATATTTCTCTTAAAAAAAATTAGCAAAGGTAAGTATGTGTGAATTGTTATAAAAAAATACAATAAATCTGCAAGTTTTCAAGTTGAAAAACAATTGCGCTCAGAAGCAAATATAAAAAATAGAAGACGAGGAAAGATTACTCTTCTTTTCCAGACAAAAGTGTCCAATTTTGTAAATCAGTGTAAGAGATCATTTGCATCATAAAAGCAACTTACATTGGGATCCTCTCTGATGGTGTTCATCGAGAACGAAGGTGGGTTTGGCGTCGCCGACGATACATTGCGCAGCGTAGGCTCGCTATTTGCATTTGAATCGTGAAAAGAGACCCTTTTCAATGACGGTGGCTGTTGGGAAGCGGGAGGTAGATTAGACGCGATCGAACTGTTTGACCTAAGGGCGTTTTGCTGAGACATAACGGCGTAACTGGAGCCTCGTTCTGGTGGCGGAGGTGCGTCGTTTATATTATGTTGCAAGGCTGCAGCAGAGAGATAACATCCTTAGCGAGATAAGAATATTAAACGATGCAATGTATTCGACGCGCGTAAATACGACAAAAGTACACCACATCGGCAATCTCGACGTTGACGAAGAACATGAATATTCCAAGAGAATTTCCGTCTGAAGAAACACGAAGATACGAAACGAGATGTGTCTTGAATCTAAAGAAGCTCTAAAAAAGGCAATATTCAAATCTACTCACGCATAGGTACATTGGATCCGTTGATGATCAGGTTGTCCAGTCGCAGCATGCTGGGATGCAGCGACTGCTGGCTTCTCGCGTGTTGGCTCTGTTGGTACGCTTGCTGCTGCGAGTGCAGCTGGTGTTCCTCCTGCTTCTTCTGACTCTCCTCAAGATCGGCTTGCTTCCGCTTAGTCTCGTCCATTTTCCGCTGCAGTTCCTTGTCCTCTATGGAATGCAGCATGCCCATAGAATAGGACTTCTGACCGGAGCTGAAGTGGCTGCCAAGAGGCGTGCCGTAATTGGTTGGCATGTGCATCTGCTCTTCGCTCTGATTTGCCGGCATTCGCTGCTGCTGCTGCTGCTGCTGCTGCTGCTGGTGACTCGATTGCACGTGCAAATCACCGCCTTCCTGATCGGCACCGCTCGCTCCAACATTCTGAGTCGCGGCTTGACCGGATAAAATGTGAGTATGGCCACTGATAACGGGCTGATTGCCGACAAGCTGCAGAGACAAGCCGCCTCGAATAGACTGGTTTCCCACGTTCGTTCTGGACAAGATCGGCGGCTGCTGAGTTCCTTGGATCGTTCTCTCTTGACTGGCCGCCATCCTGAATAAATCTTGTATACGCTGCGTGCTTTCGTTATCCAAGTCGTTACTTTCCTCATCGTCATCTTGATTGGCGGCCTCTTCCGCTCGTTTCTGGAAATCCCTCTCCAGCTGAAGCGCTCGCAGCTGCTCCTCTTGCTGCTGCGTTCGATGCGTCAGCGCGCTTAGCTCAGCGATCTGTTGATCACGCCATTGTCGGGCGGCTTCTCTCCTACGAGCTTGCTCCTAAAAGCAGTAATGTCAAATGTAATATATACGATAAAATTGTAAAGCCAAAAGCTTCTTATTTACAGACTGTGGAACCAACAAAATTTTTAGACGCACGTCAATTATGGACAAAATAAAGATTACGCAAATGATTAAATCTGTATTCAAACCACTTTTAGATTTTATTTTAACAAGATTTTATTTACTGTTTTGATTATTAATTTCTATTACCTTTTCCCTTTCTTCTCGCTGCCAAGGATTCGTCGCGCTGTACTGATATTGACGTGGTTGTTGCATGGCGCTGATTCCTCCCGCGGGATAATAACTACCCCGTGGTGGATCTTGCATGCTCGCCATATACCTAAAAAACAAAAAATTTCATTTTTTTTAAATTGTTTTTTGATTTTTTTCCTCTAAAAACGCTTTTCGGTGGGAATGTTGGCATAATATTAAGTCAGCACCACTTTTAATATTAATTTTCCGCAAATGCGTAGAAGCGATAAATTAGAATTTATTCTTGTGTCTCCAAATTCGATTTTTAATAGGTCGAAATACACACCTCATATCGGCTTGCTTGTTGTACAAAGGATGCGTGGAGGTGTCCGGCGGCGGCGGCGGCGGGCTTTCGTTGAATTCCTCGGACGGCAAGGTCGGCCTCGTCGGCGGCACCTCCGACGTCGCCGCGGGATTGCTCTCTCCGTTCTGCGCTCGATTGATCATGCCGTCGTTCGTGTACTGATCGACACGCTGCTCCAGGCTGCCGTTCGGATAGTGCGGACTGTTCTGCGAGCCGGCGAAATGTCGACTCTGTTCCGCGCTCGCCTTCGCCTCCTGCTGGTTGTGCTGATCTTTGCCGAGTGGACTCTCATGGGGCATCGACTGGTGGCCGCGAATCACCGCCTCGTTCTTCGGCTTCAGCAGCATCGAGCCGTACTGGCCGCCGCTTACCGGATACCGATTCGGATACTGATTGTACTGGCCGTACTGATTGTACTGCGCGTTGTTGTGCTGCACGTGCTGGATGTCCGTGTAATTGTAGCCAGGCGCGTTCTGTCTCGCAGCGTAGCCGGAAGCCACGCCCAGGTTCGACGTGGAGCCGAGCGACGGTTTCGGCAAGGCGACGCTCAGAGCGTTCGGCGGCGCCTGCTGGGTCGCGGGTGCCACCCCTCGCGCGCCAACGTTGTACATCGGCGGCCTGTGCTGACCGAGCATCGGCGCGCCGCCGCGCAGCTCCCGTCGACGCACCTCCTCTTGCATTTCCTGCATTTTCGCCTCCTGGCGAATTATGTCGCGCGTGGACTGCGAGCGCGACGACGGTCCCACGTTCTGCTGCTGCATCTGACTGCCAACTGCGGAGTAACTTTGCTGCTGGCCCTGCGTGACGTACGCGGACGTCGGTCGGTCGCGAATGTAGTTGGTGGCTTCCAAGGTGGACGGTCGGTTCAACGAGTTTTGCGAACCCCTCAGAGTATTCTTCTGATTCTGATTGTGCTGCAGGTTCCTGTCGAGTGTATTTGTCGAGTTGTAATGTAAAACAGTCGAGAGAAACTCATCTTCTTAAGAAAATGGAGAAGAGACAATTTTCGAAAGATAAGCAAAATGTAAAACAAATTGTGAGACACAAGTATCTTGAGTTTTTCTTTTTACAATACACTGCTGTGCGATTTTACGCGTGATCACTATTGCTGATTATTATTATTTCTACCAAACTAAAGAGAGCCGAAAAATTGAGTTGAAACGTTTCTATATCATTATTCTGTATTGATTCGTAATAAATTTTTTGCGCGCTTCAATTCTTACAGCACTTTTTTTGTAAACTTTTTTCTATACCTATCGTCCGATTGTTGTGGACTGAGTTGTTGCTTCAGCGCCGCCTCTTGATTCCGATAAATACTTAGATTCTGATAAAATCTCTCCACTTCCGTGTTTTGCGCGTTCAACGGCACATTCGCGTGTGTCACGTTCGGATTTAAATTGGGCGACGACTGCTGCCTGCTGACCAAGCCGGTAGGCGGTAGAGCACCCGCTCTCATAGGATCGTGCAAATTGTGGCTCGACCTGCGCGCGCGAATACATTATTTTCAGTGGCAATAAATAAGAATTGCATTGACGTGCTGTATCGCGAGCGATTTTCAATCAATTACCGGCGATACGGTTAAACGAGTACGAGCGTTTACCTGGAACGCAAGGCAGTTGCGCTGTTGATCGTCGCCATCGGAGGCGGTTGAACGGGCGGAGTGACGCTGTTGCTGGACGAGGCTCTGCTGTATCCCGGATTGAACACCTCGTGCTGCTGCTTTACCTCGGTACCCATATCTGAATAAATACAATTTTCGTGTGAAGGTGCGCGTGATAAAGGTATTCCTCCCTCGCATCGGTACTTAAATTCATCACGACAAAACGTTTCCTATTAAATAAACTTGATCGCTATTGCCTAGTGAAACTCGATAAAGCTGAATGATTGACATTGTAGCACATGCAAAGCTCGCTCTTTACTTACTATGCAACGCCGGCACAGACTTGCTGCTGTGGATTTGCTGAGGAGTGGCGTCGTATCCAAGTCGTGATGATAGATCCCGCTCGCTCATGCGACGAGGACCTACGGTGACCCAAGTGGATACACAAAGAGACAGCTTTGAGTTAATGCATCGGTGAACACGCTGAGGCGCGATATTAAATGATCGCTCATGCACATACGCAAAGCATTCGTCCGGAGAGCGGAAAGCTCTCTTCGTGAACGTCCAGAATTGTGAAATATGCCGAGTTTCACATCAACGCTTTAGAAGCAATAAAAGAAAAATGTCCCGCAGCAATAACGCGCTAAATTATAGCAACTTTGTATCACTTTTTACTTGTTCGGAAAGTATACGATTCCAATTGCTCGCGCACTAAAGTGTTGATGTAATTATTCAGCGAAAGCGATATATGTATAGTTTCTTTCCACTGATTTGTTTACAAATTGTGTGATAAATATAAGATAATATTTAGACGCATATTATTGCACGGGCGTTAAAAATGGAAGCAAAAATTGTGAAGTAGAAAACAGTAGCAATTACTACGATTCGTAAATAATTTAGAATGGAATTCTTTCTATACATATGTATACAGTTACGATTATGCGACAGACACATAATTGTAACGCGCGAAAGCATCATTAAACATCTTTACTCTAGACACGACAGTGGAACGACAAAGAGTATCCAAAGATATCATGCCCACGATATTATGAGAAAAGCGTGTTAGAAAAAGATCGTATCGATGTGGTGTTTTATATACAGATGACACTTGGTTTCACTTTATGCGTAAAGCAAAAAGCATATTGCAAAACTAGTGTAACGTAAATCATACAGCTAAATTAACCGACAAATTGACTTATATCGGAAATTGACCAAATTAATTTCCCGATTTTGAGTCTTGCTGAGAGGAAGCTGTCGTGGATTTGATTTTCGCGCATGCGTCGACCATTCGCTTCATTTCGCTTTTACAATTCTACAATCTCGTAGAAATAACTTGGTCAGTTTATCGATCGCTCGTCAATCGTGCTGTGGTACTGAAAAATGTAAGAGTGTCGATGGGACGTGACGATCAACCTATTTTAAATAAATAATAAACGGGAGAATAAATCGTGACAGATCTAACAAATCATGCTACATCGATTCGTTTGCAAATATTCACTTTTCCATTCTCGCTTAGGCAGTGCTCGTGGCAAGACAGACGCCGGCTAAACGCACATTCAATGCACAACACGCAATTGTTGGCTTACGCGAGGCGGACTGATCATTCAGCGAGCTGATCTCGCGGAAGCTCCAATCGTTCCTCTCCAAATCGGGCTTCCGCTTCGAAATGTCCAGTTCGCTCCGAGATTTTCGTTTCGTCCGCCACCTTTGTCGCTCCTCGTCTTCCGTTTCGCTCCCGCGCGACAATTCGAGAGCGCTTCCTCTCGGCCAATCGTGACTCACGCGTTTCGCGCGAGATTTCTCTCTCGGTAATTCAGCGGCTGGATTCATCCGACTGTGCTGCTCGCTCAATTCTCTTCTCGACTTTAGTACCTCGAATGATCGATGCCGATTCCACCGCGTCCCCCGTTTATTCTCGGAGTCTAGTTTATCGTCAAATCTCTTTGGAACTTGAACAATTCGAGTCGAAGCGGAACTCGCCGAGCTGATTCCTCGCTTGTTCAATTTCAGTTCTTCGAGAGAACGATGATACGATCGCGCTTTTCCCTCAAGCTTCGCGTTCTTCGCTCCATCGCGAGACGAGTCAATCTCTTGACAAGGATTTTCAGACAATTCCATTTCATCGGCGGATAAACGCTTGCAGCTTGGAGTGTTCTTACAATTACGTGTCAACTTGGCGTGCGATCCGCCGTGACAAGCCTCTTCCCTTTCGCAAATTGCAGCGCCGATCAGGTTATTTTCGCTGCGGCAGAGCGGTCTGGCGATTTGCACGCGCAGAGTGTCGAATTTATCATCCTGCGATCGCAAATGCACGTTCGCGCGTGACGGAAGCGCCAAACTTTTCAAATTGTCGTCGGAGCAACTTTTCGCGGAGGAATAAGAGATGTCTAGAAATAAGCGAGAGTTGGGATATTTCTCGGAGACGTATCGATAGACTTGCGACTTGTCCTCGGCGGATAAAGAATTTTTCACGTTCGAAAGTGACAGCGCGACGGAAGATGAAGGGAAATGAACGGAAGGCAGAGAGGAGGATAACGGAGGACTGGAAGCCTGCTGTCTCGTTCTTCCGTCACTCGACGACGGTAATCTCTCTCGAGACGCTGTCGCCGCTTGATCCGTCAAATTTGACCGGGTCGAATCACCGAAGGCGGACGCCCCGCCGTCGGTTTCGCTCTTCAACGAAACGGAGGAGGCCCGCTTCGCGCTCTGCTCTGGAATAAATAAAGGCGCGTCAGTGTCATCCAGATTCGAGAACTGCTCGAGCTGTTGCGCGATCACTTGCTGCTGCTTCAAGGAGAGCCTCGAGCTGTCCTCCATTTTGCCGACCCGTTCGACCGGCGTACTTTTGCAATCTCCGGCAAGACGACTTTCGTTCGCATCGCAATCTTCGTCGTCCGTCGTCGGGACCGAATTTTTCCGAGCGTCAACTCGCTCCTCGTTCAGCGAGGAAGTCCCGGAGACGGTGACTCGTTTAGCGCCGCAACGATGGAATCTGCATTCCTCGATCGCGAGGTCGTCGTCAGTTTCAACGCTAGTCGAGATGAGATCGCCGTTCTCGCCGATCTGAACATTTCCGTTCGCCTCTCTCGCCAGATCCGAGTCCGATTTGCATCCTTTCTGCGCGCGTGACGGCACGCCGCTCGTCTCCGACGCCGTGATATTCGGCTCCGACACGAACTGACGGAAGTCGGTCAGCTTCGTGGTTTTGAACTTGATCAAACCGGCGTCGCCGAGCTTCGAGAAATGCTTCGCCAGCGCCGCGACTCTGCCGCACCCTAAGCGCACTTCTTCCGGCGACTTCCAGCACTTCTCCGTCTTGGATTCGTCGCTGGATATATCGCTGTTCAGTCCGCTTAGATCGAGATGCAATTCCGGCATCGCCGTGTACATCTTAGAAGTCGAAATTTCCTCTCCCGCGTCTCTGTTCGATCCGTCATCGTCGTAAATTGTGGAACTGGACTCGTCCGCGTAATCAGAATTGGAAATGTCATCCAACTTGTCCTGTTCGTCGATGTTCAATGTACGTTTTGCGCCGGTATTCAAACTTCCAAGCCGCAACGAGTCATTCGACGGAGATTCTGTGACGAAACCTGGCGCGATCGTGGCATCTTTAACGACCAATTCATTCGTAAGCGGGGAAGCGTCGGTCGACGAGCATTTCACATCGCAACAGGCGTCAAATTCAAAGTCGGATTCCTGAGAAGTCGCGGCCCGCCGACGATCCGCCGTGGCTACGCACTTCTGCGAATCTCTAAAATTAGAATTGCCGTCGCAGTCCCCTTTGTCGCAGCGCTTACACTCGCGCCGTTCCCCCTCGACGCACTCGGAAGATTCCGTGAAGTTCGCGTCGTCGGTTTGATCGATGTACGGTATATTGTCGAAAACGTTTGTGTGGAGGGCGAGCGGCCGCGCCAGTAACGAATGCTTGTAATCTATCGCCGCCTCCGCGTACTCGCGCGGCGGAGTGGCGATCCTCTCGAACGGATCGAAAGAGTCCGTCGAGTCGCCCGCGGCGATCTCGCCGCGCTCCGCCGCGCTCTCATCCTCCTCCGTGATCTTACCGTCGCTCTCGTCGTCCTGATACACGATGGACGGCATCTCGTTGTCGCACGTGATGGAGATGAGGGGGCAGGGCATGCGAAGACCGGGAAGACGCACGGGGGAGACGGTGGGGGTGGAAGGACGGCAAGAGTACTCTCTCCTGTCGACGGCGCCGCGAAACTCGTCGACGGGATAGAAAGCGCGGTGGTACGCGCTTCTCGGGCGGCAAGCGGAAAACGGATCTTGCTGCGCGAAGCGCGACTCGGTCGGGTCGCTTCGTGGAAAGCCTCGGTCGATCGGACGATTAGGATAGAAAGGCGCCTCGATGGCGCACTGAGACGTGGTCGCACCTGGTTGAGCTAAGCTCTGAGACGTCGCCCGTTTCGGGAAGGACAACAGGTCACCCATCGAGCGCGATGCGGCTGGCTGACCGCCGGTCGCTTCTGCTGCTCCTACCGCCGGTTCTAACAGCTCGGACTTCGGCCGAGTTTTATATGCTGCACGAAACAAGTGGTTAGTCAAGCGTTAGTAAAGCAGATTTCTTTCGAGCGAAGCGAAGCGGAAGAAGTTATTCTGACAGAGCGATCACCGTACACGACAAAGTATCCGGTTTAGTGTCTTGTAAAATAAGATCCTGCCGATACACACTGCGCTTGAAGCGTGAAAGTCATCGGCTCGATCGTTGGACGAAAGTTATTTCAGATACAAAAGTTCTCCTTCAGTTTGGAATTCTTAAACGTACGATAATTGGACTTTAGGAGTGAAAATTCTTCGCAACAGTCTCGATTGTTTTGGCTCACTGACAGAAACGTGACGTGTGAGATTAATGTGATATGAACCCTCTTGCGCGAAAGGTCAAATTAGCTCTGTTGTTAAGAAGCGGGAATTGTGGGAATTTATTGCTAAACTGCGCGCACGTACCTCTCGTCATCACAGGAGAAGGTTGAGATAATAACGTCGCGAGTCCGTGATATATAGCGCCTTGCTTCGCCACTTCCAACGTTACAATCGGACCCGTACGTACGAGATATTCTGCAGCCCTGTAAAATTTTGCAATTTAAGAAATTTCTCTGTCAATTGATTCATTAAACTAGCATTTTGAATCTGCCTTACTTTTCTTGTGTGATTCCAACCAGACTTTGTCCGTCGACTTTGAGCAACTGATCGCCCGCCGTTAATCTACCATCCTGAAAAACAGACACATAAAAGTAAATTAATGTAAGATTGCGCAATGATCACCGTCAAAATTACCGGAAAATAAATATAAATTCTCTAATTTTATACTTAATCCTAAAGCAACGTTGAGTTGATTTATCATTCAGTATCTTTTTCTTTCGTGTCACATTCGATTAAATGGATTTTTATAAATGACAGATATGAACTTATACTTGTAATTACTTACAGCATCAGCGGCACCGCCAGCAACAACGCTTTTAATATAGATACCCAGTCGATCCTGCCCTGCGCCCTGCATACAAAAGATTAAAAAAAATATATATAACATAATTAGATTGTGATAAATGGAAATGTACGCAATTGAAGGTGCACACCTTCGCCGCAACGATGCTTAAACCCATGCCGTTGGTACTTTTATGCAACTTAATAACTTGTATCTCTGGCTGAGCTTGATTTTGATTAATATGGCCAACGTAGCCACCCGATCTGTTGCTCATCGCGCTGGGACTACGCATCTGCATGAAAAATGAAATGGTAATTTTTGTCGTAAAAAAATGCGTCACATACGAAGACCATTGAAATCTCGCAGCTTACATTGTTGTGGTGGTCTATCATGTAAATAGTCCAGTAGCCGCTGCTAGTAGGCTGGGCTGCCATTCGACACAAACCGTCTCGTTGCAGAGGCGCGAGGAACTCGGCCAATCCCGGTGGAACGCCTCTTATCACTTCGCAGCTGTAGCCATCCTCGGGCAGCAGCAACGCTAATCCGAGAACAGGCTCCTCTTCCAGTCTTATTTCGCGACCGTCCGCACGCGCGAGCGTGTCCGCAACACTTTCCGCCACCTGCAAGATTCATTACGCAGCGTAAAACAAATGGCGATCTAATGTGAATACGAATAGATTCGTCCAATTCGTCATTTCCACTCACTCTCACTACGTTCTCGATCAGCTCGGCGGGTAGCCTGGGCTCGTCCGTGGCCGGCTGATATTTTTGCAGCAACGCCCTCACCTGCAGCGAGTTCAATTTAAAACAAGTTGAGCTTAGCGTGGCCAGCTCCTCGGCATTGTACTTGGGTGCTTGTAGCAGGTGAGTCGCTTGCATAATCGTCGCCAAGTGGCATTGACTGGCGAGCTCCAAGCCCTGCCTCTCGGCCCAGGTTTCCAGAGCGTTCAGCCTCGCTTTAAGCCTGCGCCCGAACCATCTGACGCACAAGTTTCCGTTGGAAACGAGGGTGTTGAAGGCCGTGGCGTTGATCGCGTGGAACAGATGGCTGAACAGCTGTATCGTCAGCGCGGCGTTCACGCGGCACCGTCGCAGCAGCGTCATCGTGTTCGAGAAGATTTGCAGCACCCCGGCTTCCTTCGCTGGCTCATCCGCGTCTGCCATGAACTGCGTCATCGCCGGCGTCAGTTCCAGAGTGACGCAACGCACGAGCGAGCCGAATGCCGTGTGCACTGCGTCCACCAGGATGTCCTGCGCGCGCGTGGAAAACGCGCCCACGTGACGATCGCTCTTCAACATGTGCAGCAGCTCCGAGCCGTTCGCCAACCAAAATGCCAACGACGAAGCATTCATGTAGCGTTCCTGGGAGAAGAAAATCCGTTTTAAAAGCCGTCCGCGAGCGTGGAATCAATGTCGAGCCAGATCGTTTTAAAATGAAAGAAAAAAAAGAAAAAAAAAAAAAAAAAAAAAA